TTATATACTTTTTTTATTTACTTTTATTTCTTTCTATTAAATAAACCATTTAAATATTACTTCGTGATCTCATGCTGTGAATCAAGTCAAATTCTACATGTATATACCGAGTCAAAAATATTTGTAAACTAATTCAGAAACTTTTGCTGTTTGCCAGTAAAATAATATAATGAATATTTATTATTATTTTCATGTACTGGAAGTATTACACAATGAAGGAGAATGTAAAAAAAGTTTTTTTTTTATTTCCACTTTAAATAGAAAATTAATAAGTATCTCCGTTATAATTGAATGCATCAAAAATACTCATAAACTAATTTTTTATAATCACAAACTAATATTAAATGCTTAACAGTTGAAAATACGTCAGACCGCAGTTATGAATTTCCCCTTACGGCAGCTAACCCCTGGTTGAGAACTCCTGCTCTAAACGGTTAGAATTGTTATGATAAATATTATTTATTATTTTAGTCTACAAAAGTTACACGTGAGGTGCTAAAAATACGCGTTCATAATTTAGAAACATTTCATACAGTGCAAGTGGCTTAAAGTTTTTGTAGATGATTATGAGAATAAGGTATTATAAGTAATGACATTTAAATTCCTATATGTTTTACTTCATTATTGTACAGAAATAATTTAAATTTGGGAAAATCATTATTACTAAAACTGTACTTTAACTTATACTGAATTTTGATTTTAAGTTTTAGGAGTTTATATTTAAAAAAATAACATTTACGTAACATATGCAAGAATCCAAGTATTTAAAAAATTGAATTTATAGGAATTATTTTCACATATGAGGTTTAACTGCAAAACGTGCTCGGGCGCACAATGTCGTTCAGCACTCCAAGGTTACGGTCACATGCGGTTCTTCGTTTGCTCAATGTCGGGAGTGAATTTAGATTAAAGAATATTCACCTCCATTTACTCTTCCTTCGAAATTTCGATGGGGGAAAAAAATCTTATTTCCATCTTGGAAATCCAGTGGTAAGGAACAACGCTGAATCTTTGCTTGGTCAGCCCAAGTGGCAGATATTGGTCAAACGGGATTTTTCACCATTGTGGGTAACGTTGATTACGATGAGATAATCGGAGTTGAAATATGAGGCTTGTCCTAACAATTTGCAGGTACTTCTCAATGCGGAACCGAGTTCATTATACGGGAAATTTTTCCGCTCGTTATGCGAAGCACCAGTGTATTTATCATAAAAAGATTCAATAATCTAAACAAAATCTTGCATGAATATAATTAAAGATACATGCATTATATTCAGTATGATAAATGGTCAGGTATCATCAAAGCAGAAGAGCTTAAGAAGGAAATATAGTGGATTAAAATGTCTGAACAATATTTTTTTCTAGATTAACTTGAAATATTAGAAAATAAAAGCTTATTACAAGGCTAAATAAATATATACATTTTTCATCTTTTCTAGATGAAGATAGAATTCTCTGATTAGGTAGAAGACCGTATATTTATCTACTACAAACAGATATCCAATAAAGTTTAGATATATAGCACAAATGATAACGATAGACATTCAGGAAAATACAGAACACCAGGTTAGTGCAGGTCATTTCTTAAAATAAGAATAAGACTCTGGCTGTTAAAAGGAAGGCAAAAAATGCTTTGAGTAAATGCAGTTATTTTCCAGACACTGAGAAAAGATTGAAGTATCAAGAAATTGCACTTTTGTCACACTAGAGATATTTACCTAAGAGAAAGGATGCTTTCTTAGAAGATTTTCTGATCTGAACTTGCTTATATTCACTTCCGCATGAGGAAAACCTCGAAAAACACCCATTCAGCCAGCCCCTTTACCTGGATTTAAACTCTGGCCGAACTATTAGTCCTCAGGGTTTTTAACCATTTGGCTGCTGATGGAGTACGATTTGTCGAAAGTCAAACTATTTATATCTTTTACAACTAAAGCAAAAGAAAATAGAAAGAACCATTATTTGCAATGGATAATTTTAATTACGGCAAAGCACGCTAGGGCTAATTGCCTAAAGGTAGGGTTGCCCAGGTCAGTAGACAAACAAGATTAGATTCCTCTGAGCGCTGGCGTCACTTACTTAAAAGAAGTGAGAGAAACGAAGATGCAAAACAAATAAGGAAAAAGTAGCTTTTGAATAGACTAGGAGTCAGTAATGTCATATAAGAATTAACTTGTAATATAGTAAACATGGGTTGCTTTTATAGACGTTTTTTTAAGGAAACCTACGTTGCATTCATGTTACACATGGAGAAAAGCGCGCAAATATCCATGCAGCCAGCCGTTCTTTGAAATTTGAAGCCGAATCTAATTACTGGTGATAGCGATATTATTGCTCAGCTGCTAGTAGATCCAATACTTGTGAAGGATTGGTGATCTCAGTACATGAGGAAAATAAAAGTTTATTTTACTATGAGAGTAATGGTGAAAATAAAGGCTGCGAAGGAATAATACTGTCGGGTATCCAATGGAACTACTATTAGGAGAGCAGTGCAACATAATTACCCAGTGGACCCAAGTTTACGAAGGACAAAAGTACATCCTACTGGGTTGAAGAATATTATAGAATATTATAGTTCTGCAAGAATTTTTTCTTCTTCCAGCTGCCAGGGCTAAAACAAATATGGGATAGAAAATGCAGATTACAATGAAGGCGTGTCTTTACCGAGCTGAGGAACTTCTTGAAATTTAAGTACACTACCCGACATTGAAACGCAATACCAAGAAGGAGTGTCCCAAAAATTATGCAAATTTCCACGTAGACATATGTCATTGAGTTATTCGAATGATGTGAAATGCGCTGCTGTCTAGTGCACGTTGAGGAAGATACAAGGGAAGAAACCTGCAGAATGTTCAAATTTCGTGCCGTTATTTTTACTAGGGAAATCATCATAGAAAATTTGTTCTTTCCTCAGAGGACGCGTGTAATAGCAGGCAATGCCAGGCCGTCGTCAACGGTGGCAGATCCAGCAGATAGACGATTTTACGAGGGGTATGGTGATCGAATTGAGAAAGGCAGGTTGGTGAATACGGAAAATTTCAGCTGACACACACCTGGACATGTCCACAGTGCATCGGCTGTGGCGACGATGTTAGCACAAGGAAATGTGGTAAGTTCGAAGGGTGTCGGTGCAGCCAGAGGGATTTCAGCACGTATGGATCGACGCATCTGCCGACAAGCGGTGGCGCACTCGTAAGCCACTTCTCATTCTGTAGCATGTTCAAGACAACCTGGATGTTCCCATATCGACCAGAACCATTTGCCGTCGATTGGTGGCTAATGGCCTGCACTCCTGGCGTCCGTTAAGAAGACTGTCATTGAACCCACATCGTAGACGCTAACATCTTCAATGGTGCAGTGCTTGAGCGATATGGACGACGGAATGGCACAGGGTCGTGTTCTCAGATGAGTTATACTTTTATTTCTCCAATGGTAGTCGCTGCCTACGAATGTTGCGTCAATGTGAAGACAGGTCCAATCCGGCAGCAATTGAGGAATGCGCCACCGCCGACAGTGCCGCATCATGTTTTGAGACTCAATTGTGTACGATTCCAGGTCACCTCTAGTTCAAATTTAAGGCACTATGACGGCCCAAGGATACCTAGATGATGTGCTGTGGCCGGTGACACTGCCCTATTTTCAGGGAGTGCCAATGCCCTTTATCAGCAGTATAACTTCTGACCACATACTGCTCGCATCAGCCAACGTGTTCTGCAAGGTGTACAGATGCTTCCCTCTCCACCGTTCTCTTCTAATCTCTCCCCAATTGAATGCATTTGGTATTAACGCCACTGGCAGATCCTGCCATTGCCGCGTTTAGAAGATGAACTGCGGCAAATGTTTGACAGGGAATGGATTCAAGACAAGAGCAATTCCTCAAGACAACATCCGTAGTCTCACTGACCTGTACCTAAACGTGTTGCTTCGTGTAATGCCGTCCAGTGTGGTCCTACAACCTAATGAGCCGACCTCTGTCCTCCCTCTATATTATGCATATCATTTCGAAATAAATATCACTTGTTCGTTGCTGTCTCCCTCTGTTTGCCGAATTTCAACACTTTCTGGTCAATCCTTCGCGCTGCATTTTCAATGTCGGGTATTGTATATAATAATGACAACAACAGTTGGTTTGCGTGATTTCTGTAATAAAAAAGTAGAAAGTACATTTTTTTTAATTCTCTGTTACAATAAGCTCATTAATGACTTACATAATATCAATGAGCTCAGTGGCCGATCAAATAAAAAATTTTTTATAAATAAGGTATTACTGAAAATTAATAAAATGATTAATGTACTAAAAGAAGAAAAATAATTTATTGTACAGTTAAATGAAAAAAAAGTGATTAAGTAATTCTCTTTAAAAAATTCATCCGCAATTTTCATCTCAAATAATTATAGCGGGGATGCTGTTAGTAAATTTATAGAGCTAATAGCTCACATTGACCCGACATTGACTTTAAGGAACGCAATTCGATTAATTAATTTCTTTATTTAGGCACGTAAACATTTATTATTTGTGATATAAAATTGTAGATGAATTTTATAAAGAGAATTATTTAATTTCTCGTTTCCATTATACTCTATGACAAATTATTTTTCTGCTTTTAGTTCATTAATGATTTTACGAGTTTTTAATCTTTCTCTTCTCATTGACGCGTTATCATTCAAATTATCAAATGAATAAATTCTTTTTATTGTTTTCATTTTCACTCTTTTACTTCCAGCAATTCTGGAATATGAAATAACTTTTACTCAGCCGTGTTGCTATGTTACCTTTTGTCAAATGATCGGTCCCTGATGAACCAGTTTTGCGAAATGGAAAGGCTACTTTACATTATTGCTTAAACACTTCCGTAAAATAATTCCGTAATTTCTGCTTTAGCTCATAAGAATGGTTCGGGTTAGTGAGCTGTTTTAATAATTAACAATTTTTGTTTTCATTTTATTTACTTTCGGTGTGTTTCACATTTGAGCTGTCCAATAAATCACATTAGGATTACTATACCTTTAATCTAAATATATTTATTTAGAATGAAAATTAAAATACATTACATTTTTTACTTAAGGGTAGCTTTATGAATTCGCATTCAGCAAGAGTTCCACACAAATTTTTCAAATTCATTGAAATCTGAAAGGTTGTTATTTTCAGGTGCTATATTATCTTGTGTAATAAATGGTAAAATTCTTTCGATTTGGTGCGCCGCACGAGTCTTTAACAAACATCCTATTTTTAATCTCTTTAAAATTTACTGGAAATCCTCTTCCTATCCAGTAAAATCTGATCTGAAATTTGATGGTATCCAACAGAATCTAAATTTCCAACTTCCATTTCTCTCATGTTTAGGAAAGGACTATTCTCCGTTTTTTTCAAGAAACATCTGGCAACTTTTATTCTGATTTATGACATAGAGACTTCATTGGGATATTTTGTGAAAACAAGTGTGAAAATCCAAGTGTTTAAAACATAATTTTCAGGCTTGGAATCTTGAGTAGAACTTGGGTTGGAGGATATACATTTCTTTTTTTCTTTTCTTTTCTTTTCTTTTCTTTTTTTTTTTTTTTTTTTTTTTTTTTTTTTTTGATTATTTTTGTTGTTTAGGTTTCACTAGAAAGAAGTGAATTGCTAAATAGATACATGCAAGACTAAAAATGACGAAAAGAACAATTCCGAAAGCAATTAGTACTCTGTTTACATCTTCGCGTTTCACTTCTGGAGGCGAAGTAGGATGAGTGGCATTTTTAGCTGAGTCTCGGATAAATAGTTCCACAACATTCGATGGCTCACTGTATAGATCCTTGCCATTAACAGATAGCATAGAAATGAAATATGTCAGATTTTCCTTGAGTTTTTCAAAAATTTCAATTTCTGTATTCTCGATCTCCCCTCTGGATTTAGGTTGAAGATCCATCTCAAAATGTGTGGAATTTTTAGAATCAAATTTATTGATTGCATCATCTCGTGAATAAAATGACTTAAGTATGTACTTTGTAGCTGAAACGAAAATAAGAATGACGTTATACTTATTAATTATCATTATAATTACTATTATAAAACTGAATGTAAAAAAATCATAAATACACTGAGGTGACAAAAGTCATGGGACATCTCCTAATATCTGTCGAACCTCCTTCTGCCCGTCAAAGTGCAAAAACTTAATCTGGCATTGATTCAACAAGTCATTGGAAGTCCCCTGTAGAAATACTGAGCCATGTTGCCTCTATAGACGTCCATAACTCAAAAGTGTTGCCGGTGCAGAATTTTGTGCACAAACTGACCTCTCTATTATGTTTAATAAAATTCATATCGAGCAATTTAGGAGGCCAAATCACTCAAATTGTCCAGAACGGTTTTCAAATCAATTGCGAACAGTGGTGGCTCAATGATATGGCGCATTGTCATCCATAAAAATTTCATCGTTATTTGGGTACATGAAGTACATGAATGGTTGCAAGTGGTCTCCAAGAAGCTAAACACAACCATTTTCAGTCAATGATCCGTTCAGTTGTATCAGGCGACTCAGGCCATGACATAAAAAAAAACAAGCCACACCATTATGGAGCCACCACCAGCTTACACGTTGCCTTGTTGACAACTTAGATCTATAGCTTCGTGGGCTGTGCACCACGCTCGAACCCTATCATACGCTATTAGCAACTGAAATCGTGACTCATCTGACCAAGCAACGGTATTTTAATCGTCTAGGGTCCAACCGACCTCAGCTCAGTTTGTCACCTCAGTTTATAATAATGGCCAACAGCAGGCCCAGAGGAAGTTTAACGAAATATTATTATTCACTACTTAATTAAGCTTTCATTATCATTAGCATGGCATTCAAAGCTGACTTAAGCGAATTTATTGTTTCAAGTTAGCGTTCACAATATTCTCTTTAATTTCTACTTTGTTTTAAGTTTTAGAACTTAAGGAAATAACTGTTGTATTCAAAAAATGCATACAAAATGCAATTTGGAATCAATTTAGGTCAATAAATTGATGAACAAGTTTCAAGAACTGATGAAGAGATTTTAATGAAATTTGATATGAAAATCGGTTGATATAGTACAAAATAACGTAAGATACAACAGTCGCGGTATATATATATATATGCATAATTGTGCATAAGGTTCATCAACGCAGAAAGATCTAAATCAGAAATTGCAAGATCGAATAAAAATGGGAGACTAATAGGGAGTGTGGTCTCGCACAGGCAGCGCCTTCAATAGACTGGAAAATGGTGTTGTAATATTTGAGTGGAAGAGGAAACCCCTGTTTCTCAATATACTTTCCAATGGAGAGACTCAGGGACCAGCTGCCTGTTCTCTAGCATCCGAGAAAAGGACCAGTAAAGCAATGAAGGTTTAAGGCTCCGGGCATCATGCTCGACCGAGCGCATATACTTTTATGGTCTTTTGTCTATGTACAGTCGTTTTTCTATGTATGTCTTTTGTCTATGTACCTTTATGTCTATGTCTGTGGTTGTTACCAGGTATAAGAAAAAGTCTTAGATCTTTATGTGCGTCTTTATAGAGACATAATTGGCCCCTCAACTCATTTTTGTGGACAACAACGCTCGTCCATAAAGGGCTAATTTGGTGGATGGTTTACTGGAAAACGAGGATATTAATAAAATGAATTGATTACTCATATCTCCAGACCTAAGCCTTATAAAGCTGATCTGGTAGGTTCTTGGGAGGACAATTGCAACTCGCCTTTCCCCTCCTCAAACTCTCTAGGAAGGAGCGCTATTACACGAGTCGTACCAACTGACTGCCGTACCGATGGGCCCTGGTTCGAATCCTGGAGAAAGCATTTTAAAAGTTGGTATCAACGGTAAAAGACAAAGTTTACCCTTATTTAGGATTTAGTTCAAATAATCATTATCTTATTAGTTGAACTACAGAGGGTGTTTACAAATTTTTAGAATAATTTCGAGGCCGTTTAGTTAATATTTAAAATGCAAGGAGCATTTTTCAAATGTTTGTTCTGATAGCATTTTTCCAGACTATAAATTCGCATTGTGGTTTACATGATAGGAGAGATTTTCGTAAAGTTTCCAGAGATTATTCCGCTTCCATTAATTTCCATATTTCATCAATCGTAGTGGATTTGGGCTTAGAAAGAACTCTTTTCAAGAGACCAAAGGCACAATACTCCATAAGTGAAATGTAAAGGAACTTCGCCGGAATACTTTGGAAAGTATAAATGCAATGCCTTTTTCAACGTATTCCCGCGTTCATATTCATTCATTCGGCTTTTTTTTTAAATAAGCAGTGGTACTTTTCGAAATATGTCATTTTTCTTCTTGATGAATTTTCACGCTTTGAAAATAATTGAGATAAAGAAATGGAATGTCTTCTGTAAATATCGGACGTAAAACTTTCTCTTGATATTACATTGAGTTGATTTTAATATTGTTTCGCTCTTCGAATCGTCCATTTCCCATTGTAAAAGAATCCTGCGACAATGAAAAGACCCTTACTGAAACTTTCTTTGTATTGACGGAACTTAGTTTGTACTTTTTTCTATTAGTTTGCGTTTTTTATAGCAAATAGACCTTTTTTGTTGCATTTTGTGCTTTTATGAAGCATTAAACCCATGCTTCATAAAAGGTCACAATGTATTATTCTTTATCTCCTGCTAAATATTTTTCATATAGGGTTCTAGAAATTGTTTTGCATTGAGCCACATGCCTCGGCAAAAACTGGTGAACATTACATTTTTAGCTTAAAATGTAAATCTTGAATTATTATTTAATTTATTTACTGGAACACATGTATTTAAAGACTTTAAAATTAATTTCTGAGTGGGCGGATTTTTTCTTGTTAGCAAAAATTTAAATTTAGGAACATTAAAACAGTATGCACCCTTTTCTAGCATACTTTTGGAGTTTTCCTTCCATGCCGAAGTAATGATTGGTGGTTTTATCCTTTTCGTTTAATAATTTTGCTTATTTTGCGCTTAGAAATTTTAATATCATGCATTTAATAACGTTTTCGATTATGAATGTGAATATTTCTCCTCGGAAAATGCAAAATCATATTGTTCATTGCATAGGTTGTTTACATGTGACATTTTGAGAGGGGAATAAATTTAAAAGTAGAAGATGATAATGAATATGAACGCGGGAATACGTTGAAAAAGGTATTGCATTTATACTTTTTCCGGCGAAGTATTCCGGCGAATAATAAGTATTCTGGCGAAGTTCCTTTACATTTCACATCTGGAGTTTGTACTTTTTAAGTAAAAAACTGTTGCCAGAAAGTTTTAGTCCAAAACACTTGCTTTTTAAAATTTTTTATTAAAATCTTTCTCAAAATGCGTAAAATCCTCTGTATACTATCACTTCTACTTTTCGTTAGCTCTCAACATGATGTGAATGAGAAAGAGATAGAATGTATAAGAATAGAGTTCTTGAAAGTTAGAGTGGTTTGAAGCGACGATGATCGCTGTGTTCTTTTCTTACCCAGCTCTGAGAGTTACTTGATCTCTGGTTAGCCTTTATGCTAGCCGAGTTACTCGCGCATTTAGTTAGAACTGAGCCAAAGCTTGTCAGGCTTTTGTAGTTGTGAATCCGCAGCATTAAATTATTTTTAATTTGAAATTCACATTTCATGTTTCTGATATCCCGCAAACTTATGGAGGTTTCTTTGTAAGCGCAAACTTGCATTAAGTCGTTTTTGAGTTTTAAAGTTGAAATAAAAAAAATGGTTTGTTTAAACCTTCTGTTGAAAGTATTGCTAATTTTAAAGACTAGACAATGAGTCGCCTGTTAGTTTCATCAGGGACCAAGGTTCTCAGTTAACTAAGTAGTTGAACCGTATATTCTTACCAGGTTTTGTCAGTGATTTTTATCAATGTATTGATTACATAATACTGTTAGCCGCCTTAAGGCACAGTTGTTTCCATATGTACGAGACAAGAAAGACTTCGTGGCACACTTTTTTTCGATGTGATATAGAATTAAAAGCAGCTTAAAACGATGGCTGCGCAAAATGGCAGGATTAATTACCTGTGAGGAACCGATAAGAGTAAAAAAAGGTTTAAGAAAAGGGCCTTCGAAATTTCCTCCATCTGGATCGCCTTTCAAAAATAATGTAACTGGAGGTTTGAGATCATAATGTAATCAGTGTAATCTTCATGTAATAGTATAATTCACATATACAACTTTAGTTTACAGATCTTTAGGAATGAGAAATAAATTTATTGACAAACAAATACTAGTAAATTGTTTTACATGAAAACAATTTACTAAATTGTTTTACATGAAATATTTTGATTTCAGATAAAGTTCTGATTCAAGATTTGTTGGGTATTATTAGAAACTCATAAAAAGAAAACATTTTTAATGAACTTTATTACCATTTCCTCTATCAGCTTCCGCTCCAGGAGCTGTCCATTGCAGTGCCAGAAAGTATGGTATATCATATCTAATTATTCGCAAATCAAATATCTTAGACGGTTTATATCCTGCTCGGGGCTTCACAGTAATGGATTTGAAAGTTAAGTTAACTGTTTCTTGAAAAGCACGAAGAGGACCGGTATCACTTATTACATTACTGCCACAACAAGGTTGAACGCCTGTAAAAAATATATTGCATACAGTACAACAGAAATATACATTAATCAATGGAAAAAAACCAGAAAAATAAATATCTGGAAGCTTTCAGATTTTATATTATGCCCAAAGGGGCGTTTTTTAACGTTTTGTGTGTTCTCTTATTAAATATCATGTTCTTCGCTCTAAAACCATAAAATTCCATTCAACAGCAATATCACAAAATATTTAAAAGCTCATATCTTTAGAATTTCCAATACACAGTCTCGCGAGCTGGAGATAAATATGTTTTTTTTTTCGTACATTGTTGCCGTTGCTCGCTTTGAAATCGTTGAGTTTGATAATCAAAAATTCTTTAATGTTTGACAAAATATGAAATAGATAATGAAACAAATTCCGAATTTGGGCTTCCAGATGTCCGACTTTGTTATTCAGAATTTGATGTCTCTAGGTACCATTGTTATTTCACAGTGTGAGAAACATACATACATTCATGCTGATTCGTCATTGTTTAATTTCTTTAAATATAATGCAGGTTCTTAATATTTGGTGGCAACAATTTGAAAAGTGAATCGATATTTATAGTGAACCAACGTAAAATGGCAAAACAAAATTAATAGCTCTTCTGGGCAAATTTCCCTTTGGGCTAATAATGACAAAAATCAGTAAAAAACCAGTACACACAGGCAAGGCCTAATTATTGGCCAGATCCATAAGATTCGGGCCTAGAGCCTGAAGCTTAAAATGGTCTTTATGTCATCCTACAAATACTTAAAATCTTTTTTTCAGAAAAATAAGGAAAGTGAGCTCTGGAGGTCCTTTAAAAACTAAAATACTTAGGGGCCTAGACTGACTTAATCGAACTCTACATATGAAACACTAGAAGTATGGAAATGAGAGTCCCAGAAATCTGTATAAAAAAGAATGGAAACCGAATAATTGAATATATCCTTAAAATAATTTCATACGAATCCAAGGATTCATCTTTATTTTAGATTCTATGGATCTAAGGAAAATATAGATCTATTCTATTGTGTCCAAGTGTATAATGACATAAGCTTAAAAGCTTAGCTTCTATAGCTAATTCATCGCAAAATGCAACGTATAAAATTGGAAGGCTTTAATTCATAGCCATTTTACGAAATTGCATTTATGAAAGACATCACTCAAACAGAAGTAGTCTCAAAAGCGATTGTTAACTAGTCGTTATTTTCTTAAGAACATTTCATATTATTAATGTCTTGTCTTTAAAAGAAAATTTCCGGTATTCTAACGTACTAAATTACAGTACAGCTTAATGACGACTTCTTTTCTAAATTATGCTTCGGAGCTGCATAAATATACTAGAAACAATAAATGGTGAATAAAAAATGTGTGAATGTTAATTAACTATAACAGCACAATCGTGAGTAATGGGCCTTAAAGATACTTTCGTGTATTACTTTACAACAGAAACTCTTTCGTATTTATATTATGCAGGAGAAAACACCACAAAAAGGACACTCAGTGGGCCTTTTCCTTTTTAAGGAATTAGAATCAAGCAGAGTTGCCTATGCTCTTAGTCATTCAATTGATAAAAATGAGCCTGTTTACACAGGTAACATGGATTAATTAAGAGAATCTGAACACATTTCCGTTTTCGTAGATTTCCGTTTCGTTTAAGATGCATGTTGTGATATAACTATTTTAGTAGTGTGAGCAGTTACATATAATGCTGTCACACTACCTTAACAGTATGAGCAATTACATAGAATGATGACACATTACCTTAACAGTATGAGCAAATTCACTTTCGAATCTAACTCGAGCAATTACTTCTGTATAATAAAATATTTTGAGTACTCTGCACACAAATCTTACATATGCCAGATGAAATGATCAGTTACAGCGAGCTAAATCTGACTCATTAATAAGAGTAATAATAAAATACAATATTAAGTTAAGAGAACAGAGACGCTTTGTTTGACTGTTTGACCTCATTAATAGGAGACGCTTTTGTTTGACTGTAAACAGCCGTCGAAAATAAATAGCAGGATTTTAGAAGCTGGACGTGAAATATATTGCATATTTGTGTAGTGCATAGAAAGGAACATAGAAATTTATCTTACACTACTATTCGGCTACTCTGTAAAAGACCTTTACAATCAATGTACAAGAACTGCACTGAATTATTTCTGTTTATTTACACCCGAAATTAGATGCAATTGTTTTCAGTACTTGAAAATTAAAAATTTCAATCTTGGTAAATTGGAACTAGCGCTATATAATAGGTATTCCTAACTTTAGTTCTTGTTTATGTTACTATCTGCATCAAAAATAATATATGATAATAATGACAAAAGTCTTTAATAACCAGTAAGTAGCATGTATAATGTTTTTATTCTTAATTTCATTAACTAATTGTTTCTGTTCTCAAATTTATGGAAATTTATAATAGAAACAGTATACTTTCAAATGGTAACATGTTTTATGATAACATGAACTTTTTTTATTATGGTTTTATGCCATGATTATGTGGTTTTATTTATCTTGCAATTAAATATATCATTACCTCATAACAGTAATCTGATAATTTTTAATTAAATTCAATAGATCAATAGATCACCAGCAGACTAAATAAATTACAAATGTTCTTAGTTTATCTTACGTTACGGAATGATTGTTCTTCTGTGTCTACGCTACATCGCATACTTATATATTGCATTGTTATATCACAAATCTTTTGTTCATATTTAATGGACACTGCTATAACATATGATAACTTAAAATTAACACCAATCTAAAGATGAATCTTGTCTTTTTTTTTTTTTTTTTTTTTTTTTTTTTGTTGTTTTAGATATATGTTTTCCAATAAACTCAGTTGAAATGCAACTTTTAGAAATGGATTAAATTTAACGAAGAGAAATGTCCTTACCATTTTGACCGACCTTCGCATGTCGATTATTATCCGTTGCTGTTACTGTTACCTTGTATTCACCTTTATCATCAAAATCTGTGAAATAGCGGCTGTAGACACCGTCATTTGCTGTAATATCTGGATCTAGAAAAATAATCACTGATTACATTTTCATGTTTTAATACCTCAACAATCACATTACACTGATCACAATTTTTTGAAGTATGGCTCTTATTTGTGAGTATTTAATTTACATTTTTACATAATTCCGCCTATTCAGATAGTAATTGATAGGACTATAGAAATGAAACTAAATATCAAAATGTTATTGTATTAATTTAGTACGAATAGCAATTTAGTTTGTACGAATTATGCCTTCTTTAGCAAATGTTCTATTACTGAATCATAAACCAGAAATTAGGCTCTCTGTTTTAAGAAGTGTATTTGGCATCTACAATATCTGAACACATTCTATAATTGAAATCATCCAACACATTATTTGTTTTAGATTTTATTGGTTGAGTATCGCATTGAGTATGACAAAACAAGGAAGACTTATTATGCCTAAGAAGAGTAAAGAACTTTCTAAGGCAAGTTGATTTTTACTAAAATGACACATGAAGAAATCTGTGATTCGTATCCAACTCGTATTAACTTTAATTAGCCCGATGAACCAACTTATTCATCGAGAATACTAATACTGTTAAGAATCGCTGTTAGAATAGGTCTTAGCAGGTCTTAAAAAGTGTGATGTACCATCAAATGACCTTATTTTCAATAGCAACGAGCTTTAAGTGAAGTATCACTTTCGGTCGATTCTTTGTAAGTAAAACCTAATTTGTTGTTCTAGTAAACAGAAAAATCTGTAATACGAAATTTCGAATTATATTATTATATTTTATCAGTTTTAACTGATGATGTGTAAAAATTGGTATTTTTCTAAATTTATATCAACATAATCAAATGTTTACACCTTTGTTTCTTTTTTATTAAAAATTACATTTTATTGCGCAGTGGAATTCTAAGGTCAGTACGCTCGGCGTGTATTTGAGTGGTCCGAGGTTCGAGTCCCGGCGACGGCATTGCTCATTTTTCCTCTATCCTGCTGTCAAAAAGCTTCTAATATCTCTACAGTGGCGCGCGAACTAAAAACGGTGGTGGATGATGATTCTCCACCACCAAGATTTGGCGATTGGGTGCTCTAATTTCCAATCGCCCTTTAAAAGGGGGGATATATAAGGTGAGTGAGTGAGCGCCACCAATGAAGACCACTGACCTGGCCTTAGCCTCACAATGTGTTATCTTTCTGGCAGAAACCATCTACTCTCTGCTCCACCCTGCTCCGGGACGCAGCGAATAGAAGAGAGCTCATAAAGTCTACATGAAGCTGGATGTCTTGTTGGGAGAAAGAGATATGTTAGAGCTACTTAAATTAAGCAAGAAGTAATCAAAAGACTTTTAAGAATCGCTGTTAGAATAAACAGAAAATTGTGTTAGATAAAAAACAAAGAGGACTATGCCGAAAATTAACTATCGTGGATTTTGGACTTGCCAAATGTCTACATGCGGATGCTAATCCTGAACAACTGTCATATATTTATTGGGCTTTTGTAAATCGTTGGGCTGCATGAAAAAGACGGTAAACCTAGGGGGGGGGGAAATTTATTACACATTAGTACTTAATTGCAGATAAAAAAAAACTCTTGTGTACCGTTCAAATTTTAACAAATCTTTCGTTTCTAGTCTAGCCCTGTTAAGTACAATGCATTAATCTATCCAAAAGATAAAAAATTACCTTTAAAAGAATCTGCTAAGGCAGGTGAATGTTGGTAGGGGGTCCTACTTTATCTAAGTTACTCTTCGCGGAATGGTACCGTTAGGTGTGTGCTGATCATAGGGAGAGATTCAAATATACAGCGACATAAATACAGATATCTGTTCCCTGACATTTACATAAAAAGTTGAACATTTATTAAAACTAAGAAGGCAAAAATGCCATACCAAGAATAATATCATTCACATACTTAAGTTGAGGTGATAACATAAGTTGACCTTGTTCTTCTTGAACCTACTTATCACAAACTTGTAATTTAAATATACAATTAGTAACTGTGGGAAAAACTCATTGCAGTTGAAGATTTTACTGGCCCAATCTGTTCTTTCGAGTCCTAGACCTCTAAGTAAGCATTAATTCCAAAAGTAAAATTTTTAAAAGAATATAGGCAGGTTGTTGCCATAGTCCTAATTATCTAAGTTACTCTTCGGCTGAAAGGTCCGAGGTGTGTGTGCCACGCATAATTAATAGATTGATTTAGTGTGTCTTGTTCATTTTATTATTCAGAGCGCTAGGCGCTTGATTCCTTTTGTTTTGGGGAAACTTATCGTCGTATTAGAGAATACTTTCTCTGATAATGGCTGATTATCGCTTGTAGCTTTTTATTTGCTGTTTTGTTTGTTCTCATATTGCCGCCCATTGTGGGCCAGTAAGCTGACTTGGCTTCTTATGTATTGCGCCGTGTTTGAGCAGTGGAAGACGTAGTGGTCTGGATCCCCCACCTTTCCCCATTGACATCTTTCTGTGTCACTCAGGTTGAATCTATGCAGATAGGTCAGGAAAGGGTCATGACTTGTAAAAAACTGTGCCTGACTGCCACTATTGCAATTTAACTCTAGCGTTGTTTTGGGGAAGAAGATATATGTTCTCCTTCCTGTATCCGCTGTGTCCAATCTGGCTTGCCATCTGTCTATCAGTTGTTTCAGAATGATCTTTTTGAGATAAGACCTGATGAGATTTGAATATATAAGGTATTTATCCAGCCTTCTTAGCATGCCTTCGTGGTGTAATGATCAGCACGCTCGGCGCGTATTCGAGAGGTCCGAGATTCGAGTCCCGTCGAGGGCGTTGCTCATTTTTCATCTCTCCTGCTTAAAAAAAAATCCTAATATCTCTACAGAATAACATATAATTTAATTGGTTTTCATCCAAAAAGAATTAAGTGTTTAAAAGATATTTAAAATAAATACTTTTAAACAAATAGCGTAACTTAAATTTCTTGTTGTTGCTATGATATCAACAAATCTAAATTCATTTTGATTTGCAAGTATATCCCCGCGATATTTAGGTATCAGCAAACAATGCTTGTTAGTTTCTGAATAGTGACTACCGTGCGTTCCAAGATCAGTAAGAAGTAAAGCTATAGCTTTTTTTCCAATTTGTTATTTCCTCTTGTACTTCGGTTCACCAACGGCCGAGCGGTAAAGTCGCTGAACACTGGTAGTTCGGTCCGAGGTTCGAATTCCGCGAACGGGCTGGCTGCATGGTGTTTTCTTGGTTTTCCCCATGTGTAACGTGTATACGAGCCAGTTTCCCTTAGAAAGTCCTCCACGAAGGCATCCCTCCCCTTAGGCAGATAGCCCTCGAGGCTTTGCCATGATTAAATAACCTAACCTCTTTTACTTCGTCATCATCAACTGTGCAAAAAAATAACAAGCACATTCTTTGGTAACATGTCTGATTTCAAGTGTTTTGAAGTTTCGCAAATGAAATGCTGTTATAAAAAATCATTCTCTTCTACAACTTGATATAAAGAAATGTCATGTCTGAGAAATAGCCTTAGTACTTGCTGCAGTATTTTGGATTAAGCTTTTACTGTAGTGATTGTATAATTTTCCATGTATAAAGAAAATAAATCCGTTAAAAGTTCCAAGTAAAATACCACTTTCAACTTATACATAGGAACAAACTATCATGACTGTATGTGCATTTTATATGCCCATACGAGTTCTATATAAAAAATTTGAGAACTTTTGGATTAGATCAGAACATATTTTTGCATGGAAATATTTTAAGAGTTTTAATAAACTGTTACTTCCGGTTCATCAGTTGTAGCCAAAATCTAATACGTTATTCCCATTGATATAAAAGTCTTAAATACTAAATGTGAAACGTTTTGGATTATATTTTAATATAACGTTTAATGAAAAGTTATATTAAAATATAATCCAAAACGTTTCACATTTAGTAATAATAAGAGGTTTTAATGAACTTATTGGCTTCACGTAAAGTGCTATTTCGGGTTCTTCATTAAAAACGGTTATAGGCTTCAAGTAAAGTACCACTTCCGGTTATCCAGCTTTACCCCAAAATTTATGGGAACTCATAAACTCTACGTAAATGCAAAAAGCTTCAGTACGGAAAACAGAAATTTTTGGAAGTTTGATGTAATAATTATTGTGCACGAAATAATCGTCACATACATGCAGACACACAGCCAGAGGCACATTATTATAAAAATAGTAAAAACGCGTTGTGGGGACCCAGATTCATGCTTATTCACGGAAAACTTACGATCGAATTTTTAGACAGAAAGCATTACGTTCTTATCTATGTATAAGCTGGCGAGAGATAAAATTAGAAAAGCTTCAAGGGATCTAATTCACAAACCGAGGTGTCGCGTATCCATCGAAATTCATGTACTGTATCTACAAAATTAATATCAGTCTCAGACTGTCGTTGGTAAAGACGGACAGAAATAAGAGCGTTTTACGAAATGGTGAAAGCAGGAATCGTATCAATGCTAGTATCCTAAAGTAGCGATACCTCCGTACGGTCGGGAAGCTGAGTCAGTGTTATTGTTACCAAATGCCGAAAATGCTTATTTTCTATGTTCTAAAATGAATAAATTTAGGAAAATTCAATTTTCAATTGCTGCATATAATTCTATAAACTATTTTAAGATTTTTTTTAAATAGTTAACTTGGAAAATAATAATAATATAACTCAGCGCTCACCCCCTAATCCGTCATCCAGAAGATCAAGAATACTTTTATGTCCACTCGGTCTAATCACTTCAGCCTTTACACCAGCACTTTGCACAGGTTGACCTCCACACATAATCTGAGCATATATTATCACAGGCATCTGTAAAAAAGTAAATAACCACATTTTTCTTTCAAAAAAGTGTAAGACTTGAACAAAATTACTTTTAAAGGGAAAAAATTCTCTAAATTTCATTTTTCATTCTCTACATCCCGAACATTATGGGATATGTTACAACTGAAGTCACCTATCTAAGATATATATTTAAGGAAATAAAGTCTGTAGCCACCACTCATGAATACTCAGTATACTCTATCATGATATGCATAAACAGAAATTACAATCGTACCCTTGTATCCGGGATTAATAAGGAAGGAACCGATTTCTTCGAAATTTCAAAATGCACGCCAAGTGATGAACAACCTTTGTCAAATGTGAAGCAAGCTAGTGAAACAAGCCAAGCACTATAGTCCCGTTATAGTCACACTAAATGCGCGTGGACACACTTTCCTATCGGATATAACTAAATTCGAGGGGGACTGAAAATGATCAAATGGTCGTTTTCAGAACCTTTTATACATTCTCAGGTTACAGGTCGAGCTTCAGAATTGCTCTTTCCGACAATGATCTTTCCCCTCTAACGGTTGTAAAAACTGTCGGTAGGCTAATCGCGACTATCAGTGATCAAAACATCTGACTCCTTTCTCTCTGCCTTGTACACATATTTTCTCTCATTTAAAATTTATGTTAGTTCTACTTTAAACTATCTCACTGTTCTCACAGGCGACATTCTGTCGCAGATCTCAGACTCAGAAATTTTTTATTTACTTTACGATGGCTTCCAAACATAAAAGTAGTGATGATAAAAATACTCCTAAGACTTAAGTCGTGATGTTTTAATACAAAATTATTATATAGAGTAAATTTTGCATTACTGTATTAATATTTCAATTTAAGTAGTGATACAGTACCTAGCATATTTCATTAATATTTATTAATATTAATAATAGTTTACTGTGCCAAATTTATCAATTACCAAATTTATATATGTTAAATGTATAACCTTTTTTAACATAGCTTTCGCTATTATCCACAGTATATCCCGGAACAAATTACGCGCGGATACAGAGGAACTACTATAATTCCACTTGGAGAATATGAATTATAAAATAAAGTATGTATTTATATTTTCTCTTTCTTCAAATAGGTTTAGATGACAGAAATCTCTCACCAAAATTCATCTCTAACGATTATTTAACTTAAAATGAATACCAGAAATGTTAAAAAGCATTGTAACAATTAGAAAAAATGAGTCGACATAGTAAGAAGAATTATGCAGATGAAGTTTTCTCGTTTTGGCCAAATATTTAATTATTTTCCATGCGTTTAAGCTTGACATGACAAATTAGTACTTACTTGAATACTAGAGTCTGAAAGTGTCGTATCTCGTATCCATACAAAGTTTTCAAAGTACTCATTAGGATCTGATATCATCTGAATTTGTGTCAATACAGGTTCAAGCTTCTCGCTCTGTAATGTACACACTACCTCATCCTACAGAAAAAACGCATTTTTCAATTTGAATCCATATAGCATATATAAAAAAGAGTCTTTGCTAATCTTCTAAAGTTATTATATGCTTAAATCACAAATATTTCTCTAATGCAAGAATTCATTATACAGTGTTCCAGCTGTCGGTTCTTCGCCTAATAAAACTGCTTAATATTTTAACTACTGGGCTCTTAGGACAAGACAGATCCCTTTTCAGTAACGACAGATTATCCCCTTTTCTGTTACGTATTCACCAATTTCAAATATGACGTAAAACAACGTACATATAAAAACTAAATTTCAACTTCTGTTTAACAACCTTTTGCAACATAACTGAAACTGTGTTTTAAAATTATTTCTGTGACAGACAGTGACAATTCCCAATAACTTGAGACAAATCAGAATTTTTGCTGCAAATATTTGCTTAAACGTGAGCAACGATAACGATCTCTAACTAGCCGTCTTCGTTCTAAATTAACTATCAAATAAAAGTGTACTATTATCACTTGATTTTATTATTTTATGTTAAATGACTCGAACTAGCATCTGAGTTACGAAGACCAGATCTAGCAGAAACGACGCCAACAACACAGTTGCAAATCATCCAAAATTAAGGCTACTTTTGTTTTTAAACATAATTTACCAGATTCAGATATATGGAACATTTTCAGACACATAATTTCATTGAATTTTTAATAATAATTCTATAGAAGTACTTTAAAGGGACTCGTACACCTTAAAACCCGTAAGACCTTCAACTATGTTACTGTTGCAAGAATTGGAATAACCTATTTATTTTAAAAGCAATTACTTCCAACTTTTTACGGCTGACTACATAATATAGCTGCTTTCTGAACTAGTAACCACAAAGTTTGTGTTACAAAAATATTTTCATAATTTGATCTGCTTTGGGACAAAATTTTTAACCCTTAGCCTGTCGAGTTATTTTCTACAAATACCTTTAAAACTGTCACTAATTTTGGACCGAGCTTCCCTTAAAATGTCGGGAAAATAACCCTAAACCTCTGAAAAATGCCAGCTACTGCTATTGTTATTTCTTTCCCCTCCCTGAATACTAGATCAAGGGTTCCGACTGTAAGTAAGATGGATTACTACCATAAATATTAGTACCTGTAGATGCGAGTTGTCAAGAAAGTTGCAAATGACTATAATAGCTTCTCCGTGATGACCGTCCGAATGCCGCAGGCTACAGGTGCGAATACTATCTTAAAGGTTTTTTTCTTTCCTAAAAGACTCTTATTTTGAAATAACTTGATTTTAAAATTTACCCGCTTTTCTTTTATTATTATTTTTCATGTTTAATCTAAGTTACCTAAATCGCTGGGTCATTGATTATCATCAGAATTTCAACGCAGATTGGTTAAACTGCTATTAATAAAATCCATATTAAAAAATATCTGGTGCAATATTCATTCCTTCTGTGAGATTGCTGAAATATTTGAAAAGCAATGTTTATAGTTCGATTGCATTTGATATTATTTCTGATTTTCCATGTTTTTGTCATAAATTAGAAATGCATTTACATGCAGATAATAATTATTTTAAATTTCTTTTTACTTAAATATTACCTATAATTTAAGATATTTAGCATAATATTTGAATAATTACTATGAAAAATATCTGTTTTATTATTTCTGGCAAATTTAATCAACTTAACTTGATGTGACTTTTAAACTTGCTTTTAGAGAAACTATAGTTAAATATTAAGGAGATTTCAAAATTTAAACTTTTAAAGCATATTTAATGCTGAAATTTACTTAGTTTTTAAAACGGATGTTATTTTCTGAAAAGATTTCGTTTTTTGAATGAACAATATATACTTAATGTATACCAAATATGTTCTTTTAAGTAAAGTTAATTATTCAGCGAGCTAAGATTTGGTAACTGAATATCTTAATTTCAAGAGCGGAACAAGATTTTCATGATTATACCTGGATAGCTAGCTGATTTGAAAAAGGGATGGGTTTCAAATGTGACTTTTTCATCTGATTTATGACAACAAAAAATTAGGTGATTTCAGGATATAACATAAACATTTGCTTTAAAATATCTTCTCGATCTCAAAGAAATTAAATTTGCCCTAGGTATAAATAAAATAATAATGCCTTTGTTTCTGCTTTTTCTTTAGCAATAATTTCGAGATTTTTTTAATACAAAAATTATGGTATTAACTTTTAAACACCTGATCTGTTTTTAAGAGCAATAAACAAAACATTTAGGAGTTATTTAAGGGCTGAAACAGTGATAATATCAGTGTCAAATTTGCATTTCACTTTTTTATATACGTTCAAGATATTCTGAAATTGAATTTTAACCTGAAATAGTTTTTCTTTATGAATTTTCAGGTGATCATAAATTTATTGACTAAATTTAAAAATTCTTGCCTTCCCGTCCTTGAAACACCAGTACACTTTGTCTGAAATAGGATTAAAAACATTATCCTATAACAGAAAGCTGAAAAGGAAAGATGACACATAGTTAATAAGAAACAATACAATGTTGTTATTTTATTAGCTTATAATATAATTGTTCAGTATGGCATTTTTTTGTAAATAAAGGGTATTATTATTGTACATTTTGTAAAAAATAAGTAAGCTTTATATTTATATAATTATAACAATTATTAATTATTTAATAAGTATTTATATTTATTTTAACAACATTTATTAAGTTTATATTTTTCTGTCATAAATTAATATTTTTGAGTAGAACAATTCATTTTTTTTGAAGGAACTTCGGATTTTTACTTTAGGAGAATTATTATTCTTTTTGCAATTGTTCCAGTGAGCTTCAATTAGCTGCGGTATTTTAAAACAGTTAGTTGAGAGCATTAGAATCTGTCTTTATTTTCTTAGGTTATTATTTTATTTTGACTTATGGCAAGTTCGTTTGTAAGTACTTCTAATTGAAACATTCAAGTTTGAGTTAGTTAGTCAATAAGATTATTTCATATATTTTGTGGAATATACTTTTTGAGGATATTTTCTCCCTAGGAATCCCAGTTCAATTGTTTGAAGCATTAAGTTCTAAGAAATTGTCTTGCTTCAACGTAGAATTAATTATTCACATGAAGTCCCTTAACCAAAGAAAATGCCTTACAAGGGTGTATTTTTGAACAACAGCTTTTATTAGAATAAATATTTTTTTTAATACTATTACTAATATACAAACAAATATTTACGTTCACTAGAGTGAATAAGAGTACTGGATGTTGATGTTTGTTCTGGATTTGTCGCTAGCAACCAAACAAGTTAGCGGCTTGGTGTCTTTATAATTTTTCCCATGCGTTATGCGAGTTCAAGCCAATTTCAATTTGAAAATTTTCCAAGAAGGTATTCTCTTAAAACAGATAGTCCAGGACTATTTTAACAAAACTGTAAAAAATAATCTATGTATATTTTTTGTTATACGACAGCACGAGCAAAATGATTTTCTCTGCAAAAACATATGCACCAGCACTGATTATCGGCCGCTGTTAAGTTAACTATATCTCTTATTCTTTGCAATACTTTTATTTTTTTTTCAAAGAAAGTTTTGTCAGTAAAATGCACTATTTATAATCTGTATTTTGTTCTTCTGTTATGTAAATAACCAACTTAAAATACATATTTCGTAAGCTGAGAAAGCCCAATAGCGCGCGAGCGGTTTCTTTCTATTCAAAACTGTTTAGCGCATGTTACCTTATTATAAAAATCTGATGTGTACACCACATGACTTCCTTGTACGGAATATTAAATTATACGCATTTTTTCTTGCATTTCGTTTTAAACTTATTGGATTGAATTAAATCTACTTCGCCGACAGCGCATAAACCACAATAGAATAAATGCATTCTTTAAAATTCACTCTATTTGTTTACCATAGCGACACTCTGGCGCTAGATTCACTTAAGTATTATATTTCGTTCATATTATAACACAGAATGCACAAAATTTATATCATTTAAAGAATTATCTAATCGTTGCCTCATGTTCTATTCAAATCCTATAATAAAGCTAGAACGATGTATAAAAGCAATTAAGCAAACAAAACAAAAAAGGAAACAGTTTTTCACAGACGATTGAGTATTTCTCATTCAATTAATTCAGTTCTCACTTCGCGACAATGCAAAAACACATAAAAACTCAAAATATCTGTATTTTCTTATTAAAAATTAAATTAAAAAATTAGTAAATCTTAAACACTTATTTCTCGAAAAATTCCAGAAAGGATTAAGCATGATTTAATTCGCAATAATAAATGAAGGCGTTATCTTTGTTGTTGCGAAGCTACGTTTCTCTAGATTGGCAACAAATCCACTACTCTGCTGTTTCAAATGTAAACAAGCAATGGCCGCCATCAAAAAAATTATTAGGCTTAGCGGCACTTAAAAGAACTTTAAATTTGTTGATAATTCTAAAAACATTGCATAGAGATTTACTAAAGGCATAAAAACCTTAACCGGAAGATAAGAACAACATAAGTCAATCATTTTTAAAGCAAAAAATGTACAATTTACAAACATATAAGTGTAAAGAAACTGAGATCACTGAGCCGGGTAACAGAGTGGATATATATATAAATATATAAAATATGTTACGGTGAAACACCGAAATCTGGAGAATGTCGACTTTCACCGGTGAATGTCAACATTCACATAGTCTGTTGGTGTATGTCCGAAATATTTTCAAATCAAATACTCTTATTTCTGACTTAACCGGTCAATGTCGACATTCACCATGTACTAATGGTGAATGTTGAACATATAACAATATTATATTTTTCTTCTCCGTAATTCAGTCGCGAATAAACGCACTTGAGACTTGAAATAAGAACTTAAGAACATGAGAACCTAAAACACACACAATACATTCAAAATGAGAAAGGAAAATAATAGAAGTTAAAAACTTACTTAATTATACAGTACGTTCTAAATGAGAAATAAAAATAACAGTAATAAAAAACTTACTAAATTATGTGATTCAAATCTTATTTATTGCAAC